ATTTTATAAAGTTTTATTGAGCAATTAAAAAACCCTTCATACTTAAGTAACAATAATTAGCAGTCATCTTTAAATCAACAATATTAAACTCTTTTTAATTGAGATCAATATCAGACTTCACATTATTATAATGCACAGATAAATCAACATACAGGTTATTAACTTTGGTTACTAAAATAAGAATATCGATCAATAACTACTCGGTATTTGTGCGACAATTTTCGCATATAAAATTTGCGTGTTCCTAGCAAATTTGGCTCGTGCAAGAAATACAAGTGTACTTAGACTTACGATCCTTCTTCGCAGGGCATATATAACAACGCCTTTTTATAGCAGAATCTTGTCTTTTACCTGGTGGCACTGAGGGTTCTCCTATATGAGAGCTAATTCTCTTCCTTAGGTTAATCGGAAGACGCAAATTGTTAAGACGTTCAGCTTGATATGGGGCCATCAATGACATTTATAAAATCTCTTCTAGTTACATTGGTAGCACCGCTATTGTTCAAACATGTGAATAATTTTGGTATTTATACCAGCGGTATTGAGAATCCAGAAAAAAATTGTCTGGGGCCATCTTTTTGAATTTCGAGACACATCATATGTACGAATCAATTTGTCTACGTTATCCACACCAATTTTTATCTAGTTATAGAAGGTTATAACTGCCGGTTCTTGTTGATCACCTGTTTCAATATCTATTTCACAATCGTGGTGAAGTGACGACAACATGAAAAGATTCTTATTTCGTTTTGGAATATAAGAAAGGATTGTCAAATCCTTTTGGAATCCGAAAATTGTGGTGTTCACGTCACGTTTTTTTAAAAAACTCTAAAGAATTATTATAAACAATTTCCTTGTAGTAAGAAATATACCTAGTATTTTTCAGGTGACTGTAACTGGCCTTATACTTATAATTATGATAATGATGCGTTATTATACAGTTTGGAAAGCTCAAAGGGACATCTTTAAGAATATTGTGGTTATTTGAAAAAAATTAACCGGATTACATGTCATTTCAATTTGAATAAAAACCAAAATTTTTCCATGGTAAACAAAAATAAAAAAGCGACCTTTTCCAGTTGAGCTATAGCGCTCATCTTTGGTGAGGATTATTTTTCCATTAAATCGAAAAATTTGAGAAGGTAAGAGCAAAAAACTACCCTAATATACAGTAAATATTTTGCTTCCTTTAATATATGTATATATGTATATTCAACNGAGCTAATTCTCTTCCTTAGGTTAATCGGAAGACGCAAATTGTTAAGACGTTCAGCTTGATATGGGGCCATCAATGACATTTATAAAATCTCTTCTAGTTACATTGGTAGCACCGCTATTGTTCAAACATGTGAATAATTTTGGTATTTATACCAGCGGTATTGAGAATCCAGAAAAAAATTGTCTGGGGCCATCTTTTTGAATTTCGAGACACATCATATGTACGAATCAATTTGTCTACGTTATCCACACCAATTTTTATCTAGTTATAGAAGGTTATAACTGCCGGTTCTTGTTGATCACCTGTTTCAATATCTATTTCACAATCGTGGTGAAGTGACGACAACATGAAAAGATTCTTATTTCGTTTTGGAATATAAGAAAGGATTGTCAAATCCTTTTGGAATCCGAAAATTGTGGTGTTCACGTCACGTTTTTTTAAAAAACTCGGTGGGATACAGGCTTTGTTGCTTTTCATTGTCCCCACAGCAGTCAATTTATGATTTTTCAGTAGATGTTCGTACGTGGGATAGTTCGTATACCAATTTTATATGGTGACATTTCTTCCTGTTTGAGAGATGGGTTGTATTATACGATCTAGTACATCATGCGGCTTATTGCTCACCTTATATGGACCTTCTGGCTGCTGTTCTGTGTATATCTCCACATTCAAAGAATAATAGGTATGGGCATCAACGAGGGCTATAATCTTTATCCCATACTTTGCTGGTGTGCTGGGTAAGTACTGGCGGAACCCATATCTACCACGAAATGCTACCAATTCTTCATCAATGGTTACATTTTCATGTGGAAGATAGGCGGATTGGCAGTTTTTTACAAAGTCTTCAAAAATATGTCTGATAGGTGCCAATTTGTCAGTTGCTGCTCTTTCTTCACGCGTGTCCAAGTTATCGAATCTCATACAATTTACAACAAACACAAATCGTCTTAAACTCATTGTTATTTGAAATATATCTATGCCGGTTCCGTCACTTGCCCATAAATCTTTCAGATTTTGTCTTCCAGATTTGAATAATCCGGCTAAGAAGAGTAATCCAATAACTGATTTTAGTTCGTTCATTGTGATCTCTGAATAGGCATATTCATTTGATGTATTGCTACCCTGCCTCGTATTGCGGATCTTCCTAGTAGTATGTTCCATAATTACATTCAACGTGTCTTCAGTTACAAACAGATGAAAGCAATCACGTTCTTGCTGCGCATGTCTTCCATGAGGTTTCACTCCAGGTGTTCCAGTAAAAACGTTTTCTGCTCTAGTACGAACGCGAGCACTCGGAGGATTACGGAACCATATTGTATTATCTTTTCCTTTATATATTGATCTGTGAGCAAAGTTGCTCAAAGGCTGAGACATCTCATCATCACTGTCACTTCTTGGTTCATTATGAACTTGTACTTCTTCCTCAGTATCATCTGAATCATGTTGAACACACACGTGATCGGATTTGGCTCCACTTTCACCAAAAACCACGTCATCCTCAATTTCATTGAAATCTTCATCTAAAATTTGGCTTATTTCGGTATTAGTTAATCGCCTGGCCATATTTAACTCATCATCATCATAAGGTCTTCAGTCTTAAGACTGGTTGGACACGCACCTCCACTCTTTCCTATCCTCAGCTAATCTTCGCATTTCCCTAAAGCTAAAGCAACCCATATCCTTAACTATTTGCGAACAGTAATCTAATCTAGGTCTACCTCTGAACCTCCTAACATCTGTTTCTGCCTCTAATATGTCTCTGACTAGACCTTCATGCCTGAGAAGGTGTCCTACCAACCTATCTCGCCTATTTTTAATTGACTTCCATAGAGTCCTCTGTTCTCCTATTCTTTCCAATACCTCTTCATTTCTAACCTTTTCTATCCACGGTATACTCATCATTCGCCTGTAACACCACATTTGAAACGCTTCTAACCTTTTCTTTTCCGCCGCGCCCACTGTCCATGTTTCGCACCCGTACAGCGCCGTGCTCCAGACATACACCTTTACATATTTAACTGGAAAAATATTATTAACATAAATAATTGACCACACAATGCAAAATAAATGATGGAAAACAAAAATAATTACTTACCAGTCTAGCCGCCAATCTATATCACGAAGCTACTCAGGCACACAGTGGCGGGAGTTATGAATTTTCTGAAATATTGTCGATTCCTTGAACCGATCGGTCTGTCAGACCCACCAGGTACCCCAAGGGTTAAAAGTCTGGCCGAGAGTTGTCTCCTTCCTTTTCTGGTCTAGTGCTGTTCTTTTCTACTTTGCGCCGGTCAAACTGAAGGTCATATCACTACATAAAGTAAACGAAGTATAGGAGTGATAGAGGTAGACCTAGATTAGATTACTGTTCGCAAATAACATAGTTAATGATATGGGTTGATCTAGCTTTAGGGAAATGCGAAGATTAGCTGAGAATAGGAAGAATTGGTGGTGCGTGTCTAACCAGTCTTAGGACTGACGACCTTATGACGATGATTATTCTTAATGCAAAACAAGCTTTTCCCACTGTAACTTTCGAAACTCCATAAGTCGCCCGTTAAAGACATTCTTAGACGTCGCGTATAAATAAATTGATCAAAATAAATGATTTTGTTAAGTTCTAGGTAATTCTCCCAGTAATATCGATCGTTTGTACCGTTATTGAGCTCATTCAAAATTTTCAAATAACGAATTTATTTTGAAAGGTGCGACAGCAGCTAATTGGGTGTATGTTTTTTTTTTTTCTTCGTTAACCTTTTTTCCTAGAGGTGGAGTAATGAATGAGGGCACGACATTTTCGGATCGAATATACGGAATAATTAAGCTATTGTACAAAAAAAAAGCTTATTTTATGGAAGGTGGTGTTGCTTATCACGAGTACCAATCAATATGAACTTATGTATCTGCCGTGCCCTGTTTATTAGGAAGAACGCTGCGCGTGGCAGTTTAACGCGTTTCTGCCGAGATCACATGGACATGGTAAGCGTCCCGACGCAGACGTCGATTCCACAGTTTGTTCCGGACTTTGAGTTACGTTGGGTGCTCTCAACCAGATTAGTGCTGTTACGTTGTACGCGTGTTCTGTTATTATACATTAAAATTGACATTATAATTAAGAAAACGGCGCTTTTTTGCCAAGACTATAATAAATACATTTTTTGGCAACATTCGCTTGCTTTTCAGTGTTATGTTACACCAAGCAGACATTTACAACTAGAAGCGGCCTATTTTAAAGACAGATTAACAGGTTGGTATTTGTTTTCAAGAATTTTTATGAATATTTTAATAGTATTGTAATTTAAATTCGGGTTTATTTTAACGTAGGTTATGTTTCATATTAAATATTCCTAATAATGGTTATGTTTATGTGTGGTTTAATTAAATATAGACACGACATTCAAGTTATTATTTAAAGGAGGTCCTATTTTAAACTGAATGAAATCTTATAAACAAAATTTAGATATTTCTAGAAAAAGAAGTAATTTTATACTTCAAGCCAACTAAATTCGTGATAGGTAATTAAAATTTAGTTAAATTAACTCTATAATTGCAACGGATTAACTTGAAATTTTGCATGTGAATAATGTCACTATTTTCGGCGCTGAAGTTCATTAAAACATTAATTATCTCTGATATAACGTTGTTACCGAATAATTTAATAATAAGAAGCTTGTTGTAGGTAGGTATAATTTTGTAAAACACGGTAATGCAAATTACTGCTGGACCAACGGGACGTAGCCCCTTAGATTGTAATGCCTAGAAATGCGCATTGGACAATGGCTATTGTATGTTAAGGTAAATAATTTAAGTTCAGCTCTTCTTCGATCCAAGAACTCGATACCTACTGGCCCGGTTGTAATCTTCATAATCAGTATAGGGGACGATTAAATAAATAGAATAAAATTACACAAGTTGGAGTACATAGTGTGTGTCAGGGCTTCTGACACCAGGCAGTCTTTTCTATGTGTTTGCCGACACAATAACAATTCCTTAATAATAAAAGGGGCGAGCGAAGTAAGTTAAACTAATTTATTTGTCCCTTACTTTGGTACAGTGATGGTTGTACAATGTTAAAATTAGAGGTTCTGATTAAGTGAAGGTCTAAACTGCAACTCTGATTGACTGACTTGAGTATGTTTTTAAATATACAACTGTTTTTACCCCCAAGATGCTTTTAGACATTTTTTACTTACGGTATTCGTTGAGACATAGAAAAATAAGGTTGAGAAGTGAAACTGCAATAAATCTATCAATAATGAATTTTGAAACTGAAATGGATATGTAAAAGAATCTTGAGTTTTCTCACAAGCGATAAACTAGAGGTTTTAAGTACACAGATGACAGAAACAAGCGAACAGCAATAGAATGAAATATGAGAAAAGGGGTGATTTTAAGCTAGACCAGGCTACAAATTAATGACACAAAAAAATGGAAAACGAAATGAATACAAGTTACAAGAAATATGATATAAGGTTAAGATTAGTGTTATTTGAAAGAAGTTATTGAAAAGTGCACTTTTAACATTAGATACATAACTTTGGTATTAAATAACATGGACCAGTGATAAAATATGAGAGGTATCTAACACCTCCCCTCTTTTGGAATTTTGGTGGAGATAAGTTGAACATCAAAATTTAAAACACATAATAAACAATTAAACACAATAATAATAAATCGTAACACAAAAGAAAATACGACAAAATACTGTTGTTTGAAGTTATAAGGTACTTACATATAAAATACTAGACAATACAGAGAAAATTAGATAAGAGACATTAATTATAAAATATATATACATATATATATAAGTATAAACCTACCTAATTCCTAATAAAAACAAAAAATTATTTAAAAATGCGTAAAACTATTTTCTATTAACCTATTAGATTTGGTACGGTATTATTAAAGAAAGTGAAAACAACTGATAACTTATATTTCAAAATAGTCTTTCGTAGATGACGATCGTCTTGATCTAGCTTGAGACAGAGATGGAGTTGATTCTCGACTGGTTCGTTCGTCGTCGTTTTCTTCTTCGATTTGGCGTAATCTCGATAGCCGAATTAATTGTCTATCATTTATTTGATATCGCTCGTTGTGGTTGGTAATGCTAATATTGGGAATTCCGTAACAGTTTTTGCACTTTTTAAAGAATTTGCCGATCAGGGACACACGCGGTAGGTTGCAACAACTGCACATTATTAATATTACACATAAGATGAACAAAACTCCGATAATAGTTGAAAACCACGAACCATATGATAGAGAAAAAGAGTGGTTGATGTTGCTATCGAGGACGGTTTCAAAATGTTTCAGCCTATGATGAGAATGTCTTAACTCATTAAGATTGAAGTTTTTTAAATCGATTGGTTGCATAAACATTTCACATTTACTTAAAAATTCTCTCTGTTTGACACAACAGTCATCGGTGAGATCAATATTTGGAATGAAATTAGTATGATTGGCGGTGTTTCCAGATGTTGCGTATAGAACTGTAGAAAAAGTGTAACATTTACATTTTTGTTGTAATTTAAGAATACCAATATTGTTTAATTGCACGTCGATGATATTAGAATTTTGTTCGCAACTGATTGATGCCATCGTTGGTTCCGTCATTATGAAGAGCCAGGAGTTCGATGATAAAGGTTGCCATAGTTCCAGGTGAGCTTTGACAACTTTTGTGGGGCAATCTTCAGGAACTGTGGACGAAGGGGTAACTCGTAGCAGAGTTTCGCATACGGGTCTTTGTGACGTAAGATGAACAACCATTTGAGAACACAAGTACTCCTCCTCGGCAAGTTTCTTACAAGATGTTAAGTTCTTAAATCGACAGTAATCAGTCTTAGAAGTACTTAGAAGAAGGTAAGGAAAAGAAGGGTCGATATAGGAATAAATAGACGAATTGTCTTTTCGAACGGGAAGTGGTATAAGATTATATAAAGTATATATTTTCTCGTTAACAATCGGAATTTTGATAGCATATATCAAGATTTGACCGTCATATGATACAGTAATATCACAAATAGAGAAATATTTATAAAAATTTTCAATATCAACGGGTGATATCGGGAATTCTATATTTGTATTAAATTTGATTTTAGATAATTCTTCTCTTAAACTAAGTGGAGTAATGACCGATGGGTGAATTATGTTTTGTTTAGCGAAAAGTATGCTAGAAATTTCTGCTTCACATTCTTCTTTTAAATCATTAATGACTTGCGACATTATTTGAATGTTTTTGTCAATAATCTCATTAGATTCCAAATGATTAATTTTATTTGCTATTGACTTACTAAAAAGATTGACTTTATTAATGTTCTCATTTAATTTGTTTTCGTTACTTCTGAAACTTTGAGCTGAAATGCTGTAATTTTTTTTGCGTCAGATATAACATTAATCTGTTGTTGCGCATCCGCAGAATTAGGGGTACCAAAAAGCCATTTAAACGCGTACGATACACCATTGAAGAGTTCACGGCGATTTCGAAATGGTTTATGACTGACAAGCTGGGTAATAGTAAGAAATTTATTTTTTAACTGAATGATTTGCACTTCGATTACTTTCATAGAATTTTCACACGAATTAAGTTTTGACGTTTTTGAACAAAGAATTAAGGTATTGTCGTACATGTTTTTAATAAATAGCAACTTTGCATGAAATAATGAAATGTTGGAGAAAGAAAGCAAGGTGAAATAATCGTTTGATGTTTTTGCGAATCCCAGACTTTGATAGAATGTTCCTGAATAAGTAGGAATAGGTTCAATAGAATAAGAGAAGGAAGTAAGAGAGAAATGAAATTTGAAAATTGTTAAGAGTGTTAAAGTTATAAATGGTTTAATTTTCATTGTTTATACCTGAAACAAAAGGCTTCAGTAAGTTTGCATGATAGGTAACTTTCCTATTATTTTTAATTAATATCTCGTATGTATTGTTAGGATTTACTTTTACTATTTTAAAAGGACCTTTATAATTTGGATATAGCTTTTGCTTAGTCCTGGTTTAACATTTTTGTTTAGCATTTAAACTAAATCATTGACATTAAGGGTTATTTTGTTGACTTTTCGATCATAATAAGTTTTTGATTTTTCTTTTGATTTAATAAGCGATTCTCTCGCTATTTCATAGGATTTATTGAATTTTAAGTTCAAATAATAATCGTCCTAGGAGTTTCGGAATTCAGGTGTACTAGTGAGTGAGTTGGCAATAAAAGCTTTCTAACCAAAAATTAATTCATAAGGGGTATAGTTTGTGGATTTATGTGTGTGGGTATTATAAGTAAACATAGCTAGGGGTACATATTCATCCCAATTATTTTGGTATTGATTTATATAGTGCTTCAAGTATTCTTTTAAGGTGTGGTGGCTGCGTTCCAAAGCACCATTCGTTTGGGGATGATATGGGCTGCAGAAAATATGTTTAATTTTGAAAAGTTTATTCAGTTGTTTTAAAATTTCGGAACAGAAATCTTGACCTTGATCAGATAATATACTCTCAGGAATGCCAAATCAAATTATTAGCGATTGTGAGAGCCTCGTGGTTTGGGATCGGCTTTGCAAAAGAATATTTAGTTAGATCGTCCTGCATGGTTAGAATGAATTATTAATTACCATTTTCGGTCATGGTTAGAAATCCTACAACATGGATTGCTGGACGTTGGAAAGGGCTTTCGCTTGTTGTAGTTATTTGCATGAGTCCTTATTAGGTTTGTGATTAGTTTTATTTATTTGGCAAGACTGACACGATTTGATATAGTTTTTAATGTCCTTCTTCATGTTCGGCCATTTATAATTATCTTTTATTCTCTTATAAGTTCTTATAAACCCTGAGTGGCCTGATAATGAAGATAAATGGTTATGTTCGAGAATTGATCTGATTTCGTCTTTATTTTGAGGTAGTAACTTAGGTTTATTTACTAAAACAACTGTAATTTTTGATTTTGAAAATATAAAATCAATCATTTCGTTGAGCATGTCTTGTTTTAAATTAGGATTAGTTTCTATTGGATTTTTAAGGTGAATAGTTTCTATTTGATTTTTTACAAGTGATTTTTTTAAATTGATAAGTGAATAAAATAAATCTTTATAAGTTAAATTGTCAAAATAATTTAATTTGGAAATCAAAATAAAGGTTTTTTCTTTTTTCGCATTTTCTAAAAGGTGGGTTGAATAAAGATTTAAGTCGTCTGAAGGAATAGAACTAATATCATGAATTGCAATAAGGTTTTCGAAATTTGGATTGCTCATGTCTAAGTCTTTTGACATTATCAATGCATTTGGAAATTTTTGAAATAAGTTTTCTTTGATTATTTCGATTCGTGGCATTTCCTGATTTGTGTAATGGAATTTAATAAATTCGTCATATGTGACATTTGTATTAGCTTCAAGACTGAGAACAGTATTTCTGGAGAGAGCGTCGACATTAGAATTTATTCTACCAGGTTTGTATCGAATTTCGTAGTCGTATTCCTCTAATTTTAATCTCCAACGAATGAGACGACTCGAAGGATCTTTACAATTAAAGAGCCATGTGAGTGGACGATGATCTGTTAGAATTATGAATTTTCGACCATAAAGATAAGGTCTGAAGTGATGAACTGACCATACTATTGCTAGAAGTTCTTTCTCAGTGGTGGAGTAGTTCGTTTCTGCTTTATTAAGAGTGCGAGATGCGTAGGCAATGGGTAAATCGCGGCCTACGTCACCTTGAGACAATACTGCACCAATGGCATAGTTTGAAGCGTCAGTTGTTAGAATGAAGGGATTTTTGAAATTAGGAAATTGAAGTAAAGGTTCAGACGTTAAAATTTCTTTAAATGAGTCGAAAGATTTTTGACATTCTGTTGACCAGTTAAATGGTACATCCTTTTTTAATAGTGATGTAAGTGGTTTACCAATTTTTGAGAAGTCCTTAATGAATCTCNCAATACGGCATCAATGGCGTAGTTTGATGCATCAGTTGTTAGAATAAAGGGATTTTTGAAATTAGGAAATTGAAGTAAAGGTTCAGACGTTAAAATTTCTTTAAATGAGTCGAAAGATTTTTGACATTCTGTTGACCAGTTAAATAGTACATCCTTTTTTAATAGTGATGTAAGTGGTTTACCAATTTTTGAGAAGTCCTTAATGAATCTCCTATAGTATCCTATCAAATCAAGAAATTGTTTAATCTGCTTTGGATTTTTCGGAGGTGGATAGGTAGAAATCGCGTTGATCTTTTCTGGATTAGGTGTGATACACTTCGCGTTATAACGACACTTTATTTACAACAAAAATTTAATTAACACTTAATATATACAGTAATTACAACAATAAAAAAAAACATTATTTACAAATTTATATAAGCCGAAAGCTTGAAACAAATATACATACGACTACGAACAACAGAACAAGAAAACAAAATACCATAAAACAAGAATATACAAATACTTATAACTAAAATGACCGAGTCCACTAAGCACAATGGTGAACGTAACGGGTGAAAACTTACGGTTTATGGCGGAGCGGAGCAAGGGCACTTTTCACATGGACTTACTGCGGATGAGTAAGTCTAGTTGGTACGATTTGATTCCCTCTTCCTTGCCTGGGTAGGTGGAATGTCGGAATCGTCCTCTTGCTTCGGGGGTTTGCCTTTTTATACAGACTCCTGTACTTCGGTGGGGGTGAAAAGATAGGGTTGAAAGAAAAAAAAAAACTACCTTCCTGAAGGAGAACTAAAAAACCGACGCGGGAACTGAAATCTCCGTGGGTGGCTAGGTGGGGTTAAAAAAAGAATCGTGGTTCTACGTCGAAAATTAAAGGAGATAAGTTGACCGGCCAAAAAAATGCTACTGCTAAATATCTACTATAAAAAAAATAATAGGGACGAGATCCTAAGGGAACGCTTCCCTAAAGGTAAGTTTAAAAGAATAGAAAAAGACGATAGAACAAAAAAATTTGAAAGCTAATAATATAAGATAATATTTAGAATATTTGCAGTTTGGGTAGTTACTCGATAGGCCCCAGGTAGAACGGAGGGTAAGCTCGTTACACTAACGATAACCGGTATTTTTAGGTAACCCATTTGGTCTTGTTTATCTTATATTTTGAGGAATTGGTTTCGCTATAATGATTGTAACAATTCCTACCCCGTTTAAGCGAAACCTATTCTTCAGGAAACTGTGCGGGACGGAGTTGTTCGTGATGAGTCATTACCAGGCGATCACTTTTTTGTACCCAGTATGTACTTCCCCCTGCGTAATCGTCGATTGTATACTTTCCCATTCCCCTGGCCTTAGAAGATGTCGTCCGAAGAGGTAGATGCGAAGGCCTGTTTTAATATCTTGGTTGCGACGTTCAGTAGGGTTCGCTCGCGGGTGAAATATATCGTCTAGGTCCAATGCTGCACTTTCCACTTCGTACAAGCAGTCTTCCAATTCTGGCTCGTAGACTGGGAACCGTTGTCGGTAAGGATTGCTCGCGGATAACCAAAGCGATGTAGCACCTCTTGTTCCAGCAGGCGTATGACGACACCGGTGGTTGAGGAACTGATAGGGAAAGCTTCTACCCAACGAGAGAAAATATCCGTGATTACTAAGATGAATCTCTTCCCGCCGGGGGTTCTGGGGTAGGGTCCCATTAAGTCGAGGGCTATCGTATCCCATGGTTTATCTGGCTGACGGGGGCGCTGAGGGGCTGGCGTCACCCGCTGTTTTTTGTAGCATTGGCAAATACGACATTGATGAACGTGGCGGGAAACATCAGACTTCATAGCGGTCCATTTAAAGAAGAGCGCCAACCGTTGAGTAGTTTCGTGGATGCCCGGATGTCCCGCTTCATCGTGGTATTTGTATATGAGCTGCGGTCAAAACGGTGCAGGTACAACCATACGCCAGGTATCACTGTCCTTTTCCCATAGGATGTCCTCCAGAATCCTGTAGCGTTGGAGATATTTGGTGTCGTCCTCTATGTGGCCTAAGGGGTTTTCTGTTAGGAAGTCGTACCGCTGCCGAAGTTGGATTGTCTCCGGATCAAGCTGTTGTTCCTTCCTAATCTCGTTGCGAAACGTTTCCACCTGAACTCGAAATATACCCGGTACGTTCGATTCCTGGCTGGAGGGTGGGATAAGACGGGCGACATCATCATTGAATGGAGGTATCGGTTCTTCGCTTGGCAGGCGAGATAACGCGTTAGGTAGGTGATTACTGGCTCCCGGGCAATGTTCCAGGGTGAAGGTAAACTCTTGCAGAAGGAGTGCC